ATTAAACACCTTCAAACGAGGACCTCTTTTTATTTACTTACTTTTATATGTAAACATGTCTTGTTAATACTTCCCGATTGTGGAACTCTCTTCCGGCTTCTTGCTTTCCGGACGCACTTTGATCATCAAAAATTTAAATGAAATGACAATCGTTATCGTCTGTCTTCTTGATTCATGTTTTTTGTTTCTAATTTGTTTCTAGCTGCTTAATAATGTTCTTTTTCAATTTGTTTTATTCTTTCAAATTAAGTAAACCCAAGTTTACTTAATTAAAGTTTAATTTGAATTGCAGTTCTCTTGAACATACGCTATGGTGAAACATTTAAAAGTTGAATGTTAAAATCTTAAAATAAATTGATATTTACATTGAAAAAACCTATACAACAAAATTAAAGGTTAAATTTGAAATGCTATTTGCTTCGGGCTAAAACTATAATTTTAAATTAAATCTAAATTTCTAATGAGTTGAGAAAAATCTAAAGATTTAAGTTAAAATTTAAAAACTAAAAGTTTTGAATTTAAAAATATTAAAACGTTAAAATTTAAAAAGTATTTATCTTAAACAAAACCTGAAATGTAAAACTTAAATTCAAATTGCAATTTGCTTTGACTTAAATAAAGATGCTGAGGATACCATGGACCAAACATATGAGCATTTTTTGTTCTCGCGCCCTTTTTTGTTCTCATGCCAATAATTATAATCAGAATCAGAAAATATGTGAGTCTATGATGAACCCCTCAGTAAGCCTAGCGTAGAAATAAATACCACGTGGGAGCCATTAACAAATAGAGAGAAATGGAAAAAGAGAAACAGCAGTGAATGCAGTGATATCGGCTTCATCAGCTGTCAGGAAAGAAGTTTTAGAGAAAATTGTAAGTAAAAGGAAATTTTTCTTTAACATCAAGAAGAGATAGTTGGCATTTCTGGGGCATATAATAAAGAAAGAGGACTTGGAAAATCTTATACTCACAGGGCAAATTGAAGGTCAAAGGGACAGAGGAAGACGACGCATGACATTTAGTGAGTTTGCATAAATGGATGACGAAACAGAGTTTGGAAGAAATAACAGAAAAACAAAATTTAGGTGATTTTGCTTGCAATGCAAAAAATTTATTCTACAACTGCAAGTGGATCAGATGAATGAATCATAACCTCTTTAAATTTTGCAGTTGTGTTGTCATATCCTGCTATGGCAACAGAAAATGACCATGACTGAAATTAAGTTGTGCAGTCGAGGAGACTTGAAAAACAATGCAGTGGAAAGGAAAGTAATGAATAATGCAGAGTGTTAAAGGGACAGGAGGTCGTGAAGAGCCATGGTCAGCTGAGGGGACATGGCACATAAAGAAGAATATTCACCTTGAAGAAAATCAATATTAAGTTAAAATTTAAAAATCAATTGCTATTTTGAATTCAGCTACAATTATAGAAATTAAATTTTGATTGAGACTCCTCAATTAAAATAAATTTTAAAACTGAATTGATATTAGCCAATAGCTTTAAAGTTGAAATGTTGGACACAGTGAACAAAAAACTAAAAATTTCAATTAAAATGTTAAAATTAATTACTATTTGCTTTGAACAAAACCTGAAATTTATAGTGATATGTAAATGACTGCCTAATTAACATTGCTAATAACCTTGGGAAAGTTATGAATCCATCTCTTCCCCCAGCTATGGGTAAATAACAGAAAAGATTAGTCCCTATAGCCTTGGTTGACAACTATTCTAAATGAAGGAAAACTCAAACCAGATTGGGAACTATTCTCCAACAGCTTTGGATTGAATAGCAGGACAGATTGTGTCCTGTAGCCTTGGTTGGTACACAGTCTACTGCAGAAAAAAAGAACAGACTACTGCAGGAAATCTTCTGCCTAGTTAGTCATGAATCGAAAGTAACATGATTTCCCAAGCGTGTATCAAAAATGACACTTAACTAAAAGCATAGACTATATAAATGCCCAAGCAGTAAGGGTGGAGCAAGCTCTCGGTATACTAACTCTGGACTGATTAATTATGAAGAAAAGCAGACTTCATAACAGGATTTCTGTTAAAATTTGAATTTGAATTGCAGTTCACCTAAAACAAAAATTATAGATTTAAGCTAAAAGTTAAAACCTAGAAAGATAAATTAGTATTTTAATTCCATTGTTAATCACCATGAAAAAATTTGTAGATTTAAATTAAATTTCAATCCTAATTGGCAAGTGATTGCAAATGATTGATTTAAGTTAAATTTTCAATCTGAATGTAAATTTATTTATATTTTAAAGTTAAAGAATAAATATATGTCGCTATTCGTCTTGTACAAAAACAATAGATTTAAGTGAAATGTTAAATTCTAAAGATAGGCTCACCTATCATCCAGTTCAGATTCCTCTCCGTCCTAGGTATGACGATAAACTACATCCGCGTTCTGGGTAAGACGATAAACTACATCCGACAGCAAGGCTTTTGATCAGAAGGTTTTGAGGAGCGTAAAGCCACCTCTTAACTGCTGGTGTTCCCATGTCCACCCTGACCCGGTGTGGTAGCACGTGTTAAGGTCCCAGCTATGGGCAAATAGTTAACCCAAATCTAACTCAATAGGAGTAGATAGGTTCGTCTGTCGTCCGGTTCACACTCCTCCACGGTAATTTGAACAGGAGTGGAGAGTGTTTCCTGTTTAAGATTCGGTTTCTAAAGACTTTTTCTAAAGACTTTTCATCCTCTTTCACTTCCAGTAGACCCCTTGCATCTTGGTGGTTTGATCGCCTTGCTTGGGGTGAATTGATTAAACCAACAACAACAACAAAACTATGGAAATTGCTCTTCATCTTTACAATGTCAAATTTTTTAAGTTGAATTTACGTCAGAATTGCTTTTACTTTTTTACCATATCTATTTTTTGACTTTAAAAGATAATTTTGTCTCCAATGCAGAAAGAGAAAAATTACAAACTATTTTTTTCTGGATTTGTAAGTACATGTCCGCTTTTTTAAGAATGGCAAAGAGTTTATAAAATAATAAATTATCATCCTTATTTTAAAATTAGCACTTTCAAATGTATGTTTTTATACAAGTGAAATCATCAGTGCTGTTAAATACAATATTGACTTATGAAAATTAATTATTCATTATTTATGCGTCAAGTTTAATTTGAGCCCAAAATGAATGAATGGCTTTTCAGATTTTCTAGATTCTTGTATTTTAACCAAAAAGTTGCACATTTGGCGCTGTCAAGAACAAATTGCAATTACTGATTCAGGTGAGCTCAATAGATTTCAGTTTTAATCATATATTATTTCTAATTAATCTAAATATGATTTTTTTATGAAGGTGGGTGAAATGAGAAGAAAAGGAATCACCCCGTTCCCAAAGGGGATTTGCTTGAAAGTGAATGTAAAAAAACTTGACTGGGATTCGAACTCATTTCATTAATTTCTCACTACAAAACTTTAACTATTACATTCGTTTTACAACCATAGAAAATTTAAAATGTTTGATTATTCAAGTTTTTATAAAAAAAAAAGAAGAAATGAAATGAACTACAATCAGAATTAAACCTATTTTTGCTGTCATTCATTAAAAATGGCCGTTGGTGTCCATCAAGCAAAACTCAAAATTATTCAGCATTTATGAATTATTTATCAACTTTTGTAGCAAATATAGAAAACAAAAACCTGCCATCATCGTTATTTACATAAATCGCATTCAGACTATTGTCCTCATCTTTGTTGTTATTAGTATCACAACATTTCGGCATCAGGTGATTTGCCAATCCAGCTAACCCTCCAGAAATTTTTGAACACTTTATTTAAACTATAGAGATAGATTCTTCATGTCTAGGGATATCTCACCTTTTTTCATGATCATCCTCATCATCATCATCATCATCAAAATCATTCCCTTGACTGCTTCAATTGTCGAAGGAGGAGAAGTGCTCCCTAAGTATGTTAACTGACGAGAACTAAATTCCATAGCCTGACGGAACCCCATAGAGTTTTTACTTCACCCAAGGCTATAGAACCCAGTCTCTTTTGCTATTTACCTATAGCTGGGGGAGAAGAAGAGGATTCATATCTACCCCAAGGATATTAGCACGTAAGTGAATTTTTGTCAGTTATGTGCCATACATAATACACGCTTAGGTGATCATGTATCTTTCGATACATGACTGACAAGGCAGATTTTTTTCCCCGCAGTAGGTTGTCATTTCTTTCTGCGGTAGGCCAGTTGCCATCCAAGGCTATAGAACCCGTTCTGTCCTGCTATTTACCCATAGCTGGGGGTGGGGAGAAGAAGAGGATTCATACCTTTCTCAAGGGTATTAGTACGTAAGTGAATGTAGCGGATTCAACCGGAACTCTCAGATTTCTCAATCCGAGCCGCTATCCATTACTCCACCATAACTCCTAAGGGAACTAAGGGCAAAAGAAACAGACAAATTCCTCCAGACAGATTTGTCGCGGCTCTCGGGAGTTCCAGCAATCTGACCAGATCTTGCGTTGCCGTTCCTGCTTGTATCCGCCTTCAACAGTACCATGTGATGTGGCCAAACCATGACATCTCCCGACACTTAATCTCTACTTACTTCCTCTTCTTACATGCACACAACAAGCACATTTAGTAATTCTCTACCTTGAGTGGCTCTTGGGTCTTGTCATTGGTGAACATTTAGCAAAAAAATGGAATTTTGCTTTATGCAAAAATGCTTTGAAAGTATCTCTTTGGAAACTTTGGTTCGTTAGTTGTTTTTGTTTAGCGGCATATCAAAACCTCTATGGGTTATTTAATGCCAAAATCTATATATTTTGTACGTAATTTTATTTATTTATTTTTGGAAATAATAATGATTTTAGTGCTAAAACCTTGCTAATTAACCCATAGCTGGGAGAAGAGGTGGATTCATACCTTACTCAAAAGTATTTGTGCCTAAGTGAATATAACGAACAAAACTGGAAGTGAAAATCAGTTCTCAGATTAACAATTCCGAGCCTTTATCCATTAAACATCCAAGCTTACAGTACCTGGTATCCCCAAGCGGTCACCCATCTTGGTACTGACCAGGCTGGACGTTGCTTAACAGCGGTGATCGTACGGAAATTGGTCTTTCAACGCGATGTGGCCGCAAGCCACTTATTAGAAAATGGTTATCCACTGAAAACTATTTATCATTTATTATCAGTTATTATTTACGCAGATGGTCTTCTATAAATGATGTTTTATTATCTTTGAATAATAACTAAGATGTGTGAGGCGATATATATGAAAATGACAGCTTCGCTCCACCGTGTTATATGATAGATAACATTTGGTAGGTAATGGCCCGATATGGGCAAAAATATATTCATCACCATTGAGTCTTGTTTGGTTCATTGAAGCCAACCCTTCTTCTTCTTCTTCTTCTTCTTCTTCTTCTTCTTCTTCTTCTTCTTCTTTGTAAGAGTTCTTGAATTGCAAAGGAAAATATTTGTCGCAGATTACTAAGAAAACAAACCACTGTAATTCAGACTAGAAAATCGGGGGGAGAAAGAAAAGCCGAAATCTCGATTCGCAAGTACTGTCACAAATCACAATGCACGTAACCAGTCAGAAAAGTAACTCACTCACCGACGACAGCCGCGGTAGCTAAATACACGAATTTTTGGCTTTTTTTTCTGATTCGAAAACACCAACTGCTTTTATGTGCCGAGCATTTGTTTTTTCAATCGTCGACAACTGAGAGAGGACGCACAATATTAGCATATCAAAATACTTTTATGGCGACTCCTGCGACTGACTTGTTTCTAATTTAAATATTCCGTCTTCAGCATGTTATGCGGAATACGTGCCCTTTTTTCAGCAAGTAACCTTCTTTTTCGACACATTTTCCGTCGTAGGATACACGCGACACGCTGTCGCTTGGTTTGACGAGGTAATTCGCCGTTTTCTTCGCTATATTCTTCTTATTATTATTACTATTATTTGTGTATGTTATGTTTCTTGCTTTGTATCCTGTAGAGCTGACTTCAAACTATACCTTAGGCTTTATAGGAGAATTGTCATTTAATTGATAGCAATTTTTTTAGTATATGGAATGTTCCGAGTAGGGCGATCTTCTGAACAACTTGTATGTTGATGTTACCTGGAACACTGTTAGTAAAATTGTCCATCCCTTTTCTCACGTGGACCACAGCTCTGATTACTATTGTTACTGTCTCAATCTTCATTCTCCACATCCTCTTAATGTTAATCTCCAGGTACTTGTATTTGGACTGGATAATTCTTGTTGGTGTTTTCTCCTGAATTTCTTGTCTTTTATGATAATTTCAGGTCTGTTGGCTTTTATTTCCAAGTCAGTTTGAATTGTCCTGTTTCAGAGGATAGCTACATCGTTATTTTTGGTAAGTGTGTCTACTATCTCTCAGTGGTTTCGATTTTGTGCTTCTTGCATATCTTCCAGTGTACATATGTTGCTACCTTGTTATGTCTGTGGGTATATTCCTTTTTGCCAGTTTCGGACATCCTGAGATAATATGGTCAACAATTTCATCATATTTTCCGTAGATCCTGCATTTCGAGTTAGTTCCATCCTTGATTATATGACAGTGATAGAATCTGGCTGCGAGGCTTTGGTCCTGAGCTGCAATAATTAGGCCTTTTGTCTCAGCTTTCAACCCCGTGCACTTCAGCCACTGATATGTTTTCTGCTGGTCCACATTTGCTTCTGTAGTTCTTTTTAGGTATTTACCATGTAACGCCTTGCCTACGCAGTTGGATTTTTTTTTTTTTTTTTTTTGTAATTTTATTTGACTAAGTTTTGCTTTTTCTTTTACTCGTTTGACATGGATTGCATTCGCTTCGTTTTTTGTTGGTAGGGTTTCAGATATGTTAAGCTGTTTCTTGAAGAGTGCAACTACTTTGTTAAGCGGATTTGGTGTTTTACTATTTGTAGGAGAGGGCCATTTGTTTTTGTGAGGTATGCTTGCAGTACGATTGCTGTAGTTTTTAGAATTAGTTCAAGTTGGATTAGACCTCGGTCTCCTAAAGCTCTTTGTATGCACAACCTATCATCGGGTTCTGCGCCTCTTCTATTTTTGGGAGTTGGTATGTTATTCCCTACGTGAGCCATTTAGTGCATTTTTGGGGGTTTATGATTATATCATTGTATGCCTGTGCGAGGTCTTGATGGTTGCTAGATGGGTTTTTATCCAAAAAATTGCTTATCGGTCTATTCCTAGTGCTTTCCATTTTTTGGTTTTGCAGATAGCAGCGGTTGTTTCAGTAATATTGATATCCGTCTATTTTTGGCACTCAATATGTGTGTGTTGTTCCTATTGCTGCTTGGTCCATGTAGCTTTCATTGTGCATTTTGCAGTTTTCTCACATCTTACACCAGAACTCCGCGACTTCTTGGATATTAGGTGGGTCATTTATCTCAATTCTATTTTTCCCAGTTAATTAATATACTCTTCCCTAGACCATTTATTTATTGTTCTTTTTGTTGGATTTCTTTTAATGGACACAGAGGGCCTCTGTGAGGACTGTCCTCGGCATGGTTTTCCTCTAGTTCTCGTTGGATAGAGTTTGTTCCAGTTGCAGACTTTTCGATCCCAGTCTGGCTCCTCACTGGAGATCGCGGTCCTTGTTGATCCGTGTGACAACCAATGCGGTTTAGCAAAAATTATGGGACCTTTCCGCCAATCTAGTAATGCGCTTAAATTCATAAAGTCTTTTTGTTTCTAAATATCTTTTTTTCATTTATATTTTAATTGGTGCTATATGGTCTATCACGGTATTTTAAGGTCTTCCATATCTTTGAATGGGGTCGACCTATTTGAATTTTGAGTCTTCCTGGGAATCATAAAGCATTCAAATTAGACTGAAATAAATAAATATAAGACTCCATAAATAATAAGAGGCTTGCTAAGAATTTTTAAAAAACTGTCATTTCTAATGAAGATTTTTTGAAATCCTTTCACTTCAAGTAAGGTGATAAAGCCGCTAAGATGCCATGGGTTACTGAGATTGAAAGAAGTTGAGAAAACTTTACTGAGAAGAAAAGACAATAAAAAAACAGGATTCGAGGTGACAGAGAAGCAGAAAGCCGGAAGAGAAGGGTAAAAGAAGAAATTATACACATAGAACTTACGGTTCCCTGTAACAAAAATGATGAGACCTAGTTGCCAATATAATGCTAAAGCCAGTCAGTATAAATGCCATGAAAATAGTTATGGAATAGGTACAGAGAAGCTACGTTACAGTGATAGGAAAGTGAGTGATGCAGAGATGCCAGGTCAGCATCGATAATATTGCAGATTGGATTTTGCCAAGAATCTCTAGATAGATAGCAGAAGCACTAGACCAGATATAGCAGCAATATTCAATAAATGAACGGATGTCTATTCATTATTTATCTCTCTATCTCAATCTTTTCCAAATAATATATATCTATCTCCGCCTATTCATTATCTATCTAAATATTTTACAACCTCCCTATCGATCTATCTCCTCATTTTCCAATCTATCTGACACATTCTTCTCATATCTATCACTGTCATTCTATATATATATATATATATATATATATATATATATACACATATATATATATATATATGTGTGTGTGTGTGTGTGTGTGTGTTGTGTCATCCACAAACAGACTATGGCTAGATGTCCGGCTACCTCTTGCTAGGATCGAAACCCGGAGATTCTACCTCTAAGCCGTTGGCGCACGGCAGGATGAAGGTGAATTTAAGCATATTTATTTTTAGATAAACACACAGTAACTGAGAGAAATCGATTCGTTTTACCGAAGAGTCTTGCAATTTTAGCTGTAATAGTCACTGCTTACAAACTCACACTTTCTCAACAGAGAGCTCAACTGAAATAAATTTTCAGGAACGCATATATATATATATATATATATATATATATATATATATATAGGTGCAATTTTATATCTTTAATTTCGCGCATGCGTACTGTTTGTTTTAGATTTTGTCGGCTGCATAGCATAGTAGGGTCAGTTGGGCACGGTTTGTGAAAAAAAGAGCAACATGACGCTATTCGCCAGAATTTTGGAAACGGTATGCTGTACTATTTGGCATGCACGCTGGAAGCTCCAATACAAACATTTTAGAGTGTTTGGGTGTCAACCTGAAGACAGTGTAGTGGATTTCGAAAGAGTTGGATGAGTCTAATGGTAATTACGAAGGTACGGCAACTCGGAAAACTCACTCTGATCGTACTGATAAGAAAAGAACTGCTAAATTTGTTGGTGAGGGCCCCAAACTCAACACGGGGTGTCTTGAGGAGGTAGTGCTACCCTGGATCAAGAGGTTGGCTGCTGGAAGACCCTATGTCTGGCAACAGGATTTTGCACTATGCCACACAAGCAGGAGAACCCAATCATGGCTGTCAGACAATTTCTACGACCACATCACCCCTTACATCTGACAACCTAACTCCCCAGACTGCAACTCCTTTGATTATTATGTGTGGGGAGCAGTTGAGCGACAAACCAACAAAACTCCTTGTAACACCAAAAATGAACTGAAGGCAAGGATTATGGCAGCATTCATCAATTTAAACAAGGAGACCATTCAGAAGAGTTGCAAGAGAATCCGAAGTCGTCTGGAGGCCGTGATTGAAGCCAATGACAATTTTATTGAATAAATTTACTCTTTAATAAAGTTATTTTTGTGTAATTTTGGTAAATATTTGTGCTAAAAATAGATGCTGGTGTTATTTTCATTTTTGAGTCATTTAAATGACAATTTATCCATCCCATCTTGGATATATTCCTATATAGCTATGTTCTATGAGGAAGCAGGCAATTTACTCGAAGGCCCGGTAAGCACAATTCAAATTCTTGTAACTAATGTGATTTTTCAAAATAGATATTACGCCTTTTCAGTTTTTGTTGGTCTGGTGATAAAACCCTTGATATCAAAGCTACACATTCATCCACTGTTATGTGTGCGTGGGAGTTTTCGAATCTTAACTTAGTCTAATACAAGTCCACAATTTTCTATGTTCTGCTAAACTATCTCAGTAACTCTTATTTTATATTGAAGCTCTTCTGTACATACCGGTGTGTCCATGTGTGTCTCTTTCGTCATATGTGTTTCCCTTAGGCCATTTCCTGTTTTTATTCTATTCTCTCCCCCGCCGTTTTTTAAAACAATTCCCCTTGTTTTGGTATCCCTCTTTTCTCCTTCTCTCTCCACATCACCTTTCTATCTCTTTCTCCTTCTCTCTTCATGTCTCCTCCTTTCTCTTTCTCTTTCCAAATCTCTCTCCATTCTCTTTCTCTATCCACGCCTCCCTCTATTCTCTTTCTCTTACCACGACTCTCCCTTTCTTTTTCTCTTTCTCTCCCCACTTCTCCCCTTACTCTTTCTCTCACTACATCTCCCACTTTCTCTTTCTCTCACCACGTCTCCCACTTTCTCTTTCTCTATCCACGTCTCCGCCTTTCTCTTTCTGTCTCCACGTCTCATTTTCACTGAGATTTCCGTTGTCTTTCTTTCTCACTTTTTATTGTCGTCTTTCATTCCTCATTAAACCTTTTCAACCATCCTGAACCCAATATACCAGGATTACTTTTAAGCTAAGGTCGCTTCCTACCAATAATTCTTCTAGGCGTGTCATAGCTATGAATAGCAAGTGATTGCCGGAATCAAAGTGGTTGTTTTAGCAAAAGTTGTATAAAATAACTCGTTCCAGCAACAATAGTAAAATATTATATATATATATATATATATATATATATATATATATATATATATATATATATATAATATTTTTATAACACATCTGTCGCTATGTATTTTATGGCCATAAACCTAGAAACTATACCTAAAAATAACAAATGGTTACGAAACAATGAAAATATCAGTTTCTTTTAATCGTTTCATCCCAGGCAAGGCAATAAAGTCACTAAGACTCAATAGTTACTGAATGTGCAAGAATATGAGAAAACTAAAAACATTATTAAGGCGAGAGGACAATAAAATAATAGTAATTAAGAAGACAGACGATAATGTTTTTCATTGCATTTAAATTTTTGAAGGTCAAAATCAGCTGGAAAGCTTGGAGCCGGTGGAGATTTCCACAAGCGAGAGAAGAAATTGTTAGCATAGAACTTGCGGTTACATCTAGCAATTTCAATTGTAAAATGATGAGACCTAACTGCCAAACAAGTACCGCGCTTAAATTCGAAAAGATGCGGTCTCAAAGAAGAAAACTCGTCAGAACAATTACGATGAAAATATTTATGCAATTAGTACAGGGAGGCTACGCTACGGCAGTACGAGAATGACTGAAGATGCCATGTCAGGACCAATAACATTGCTGATTGTCGGATTTTGTCAAGAATCTCTAAACACATAGTAAAAGCACCAGACCAGATGTGACAAGAATATTCATTGCATGGACGAATGGTTATAGATATGTAAAATAGATTCTGGCAAGAAAACTTGTCTAGCACGACACAGTCAACCAACTTTCCTAGCAGCAGACCTAGCAATTAATTAAATATAATCTTTCCACTTCATGTCAAAGATTAATCCAAAAAGGCCCAATGTGTCACTCTCTGGAGGTTAGCATCAGCCATACTGATGGAAGGAAAAAAAGTTTTCTAGCTTAGCAAGCTTAGGCCTACTCTATCACTATTTCCATGGCAAATGTTCAGATAAGCGCTCCAGTTCAGATGTTTACAGCTTGGGCACGTCATGCTACTTCCGCGGAGTCGAATCAGCCACATTTTCTCCGTATTTCAAATCTAAGAAGAAAATTCCCTGCAACAGCCACATTGCGAAATAGACTCCTGCGCGGATGCTTCCCTCAACACTCTAATCTTGAACTTTTCAATTGTTATCTCCCCTACTTATCCTTAAAATCTCCCCTTCATTCTACCTTCTCTTACATTCATATCACTCCTCGTTCATCATCACCTTTTTGACTCTAACTCTCTACCTTGCGAGGCTCTTGAGCCTTGCATTAGGTGGAATTTAGTGAAACAAAAAATAGGACAGGTTTAAAATAGAATCCTCTTGTCCTTGCAATGTTTGAAGTATTTTTGCAGTTGCAAGTGTTCTTATAAACTTAACACCGATTATTTATTAAGCATTGATTGGGCATAATGGTCGTGCGAACTATCAAAGTGATAGACAAACATAATTATGATAGGATAGTAATGGTTTTACGTCATATTTTTCTGCCAAAAGTAGAGATTGAGGTACAGTAAGTGTCTTCAAATCTCCAGGCCTTTCCGAGACTCTTGTTAACTTTAATAATGTTATGATATTATTATACTTATTAAAGATAATTTCGATTAAACTCTGAAGACCAATTCCAATTCTGAAGACTCTAATTCCGAGTAATTATCTGGTAATATTTCTTTTACCAATAATCCGTAATACGTACGAATTAATAATGACTCCTTTCACCCACTCCTTCCATATTCATTGGGCTGAGGAAAACGAAGGGAAGAAATTCGTGAGCCTATGTAAAATTGTTTTTGGACCAAGGAAAACTTTGCCTTCACAGACATTAACCGGTCAGCCAAGAAAAAGAAGAAAATAAAGTAGCGAGCCTATGCGAAATTCTTTTTTATATAAAATGAAGAGTAAAATTAAATATTAGAAGAGTGTCTGAAGTAGTGTGAGATTTTTCGTTTCTGTTCCACGCGATCAGTGTTGAAGTTCTCGCCAGTGTATATTATCGGCCACTAAGCACGCAGGACGTCAAAGAATTTTCTTTCAACAATCAAGAAAGCTAAGTATTTCAAACTATCTCTTCTCTCCGTCTACTTTTGAACGAATTCAGACCATGTATCCCTTCAGTTAGCAACGCACTCTCTTAACTTTGTTTTAAACATTTTTTAATATTATTTTGTGTCAGATCATTTAATCTGTTGTATGAACATTTCTTTTTCATTAAAATACTTTCGAACCACAGACTTTAATACTTCTGATTTATTTTCCTGAAACAAGCGAATGACATTACTTCAAGAGTTCAAATTCGTATATTCTATACTGGCTTCAAGATCTCAATTTACATTTGAGCTGGCTAGATGTAGCCGTAACATCTATGGTAACAGCTTCTTTTTCTTGCACTTCTCACTTGTGGAATTTCCTTCCGGTTCCATGCTTTCAACTGCAAAGATTTAAATACAATCTCAATCGCTATCTACTGTCCTCCTGAATACTCCTTTCTCTTCCCGCTCATTATTAATGTTTCCGTTCCTAATTCTTCTGTAACCCTGTATCTTAGTGGCTTTATTGCCTTCAATGGGGTGATACCGATTTTTAAAAAAATGAATAAATTCCTGATCTTGTTTTGTTAAAATTGTCCGTGTGTTTCCTCGTCATTATCATCCCTCATTAATCTTCTTGACGTGGATAAATCAACACTCAGTTTTACCGCCTAAGCCCTACGCTACTATAAATCTATGTTGTTTAGGCACCTCGAGGCGGTGTAATGGTTAACAAGCTTGTCTCATTAGAAAAATTACGACTGAGTAGTGAGTTCAATCCTTACTGGGTGCACCATAGTTTCGGCCTTATGCCACATCTAAGCTACACTTGGGAAACCACAGGGGCACCTCGAGACTTGTGTAATGGTTAGCAAGATTGTCTTGCTGTAAAAATTACGACTGAGTAGTATGTTCGTTTCTCACTAGGTGACCCCTACTTTCGGCCTTGTGCCACACTTAAGCCGCGCTTGGAAAATCGCTATAAATCTATGTTGTTTTTTCTTCTTTTTTTTGCCTTTCGGGTTTAATAATTGTTCATCTTTCTTCTTTTTCTTTATGTGACACGTCCCCTCAGGACATAGACGATCATGGCTCTCCACGATTTCCTATCCTTTGCAGCTGTTAATTTTTCTTTTGGCCGGACCAAAAAGAATTAAACAGAATGGAGCGACTGGAAATAATTATGCGTTTTTTTGTTTTAGTTTTTTTTTTTTTTTTTTTTGACGTTTTTTCAAAATGAACAACAGAAGCAAAAAACAAATGAAAATCATCATAACTTTCATGGCAGCTGCAGAAGTTTATATCACAACGATGACGGCTTAATGGTAATTAAGGCTAAAAATGATAATTTTCAAGTATGTCCCTTTGTAATTATGACAAAATTGTAGCGAAATTAACAGCAGTTATAATAACATCTTCTGAGAAGTGGCGGTAGTTGCAGTAAACAGCAAAAAAAAAAAACATTTTTATAATAAAAGGATTTTTAGTGACCATAATTATTATGATTAGGAACAGGGTTATTGGTAATAAATACCATTGTTTGGAATAGGCTAGGCGTGGCATTGACAAATTAGATAGAGTGTTTAAATGACAATTAATAGGCCTGCTCTCCTTTCTTGCGTGTGTCTATGTGTGTACAAGCTGCAAAACAAAACGTGTGCATGTGAAGACATAGCAGTAGAATACTTATCTGCAATTAAACTAGTATATATATATATATATATATATATATATATATATATATATATCTGTGTGTGTATGCGTCAATGTGCGTGCATGCGCATTTACTGTTGGACACTAATTACTCTCCATCCGCATGTGTGTGTGAGTGTGCGCGCGCTCGTGCCCGCGTGTGTGTTTATCCGTGGTCGTGTGTGGGTGTGTGGGTGTCCGTGTGTGCATCTCTCGGGATAAGTGTTCTTCGCTGCTCCCTACTGTAAGAGAGGCGAACGCTCTCCAAAGCACTGCAAAATGGATGGTTGCAACGGATGCCGTCTTTCACGACTCTTCGTCTTCGGTGAGTTGCCGATTGTGTACGTCTTTTTATGTTACGCGCCGAAAGCAACACACACATATCTAGCCTTTCAAATACACACACACACACACAAACGCACACATATACAGGCACGCACACACACAGACACGCACAGCGACACATACGCACAACACATGTGTACACACAATGGACGGGCATGCGTGGCCAGGTATACATGCTGGTCGCATACACACGTTAGGACATGAAGATATGAAAAACACTTTCTAGTGCAAAAACACAATGCAGGACACGGTGGTAAACCACACCATCGCACGTTGCCCTTAGCATGCGTCACGATGACTAACGTTTATGCAATTGTGGCCAGCTACTTTGTTGATAAAGACAACTAATAGATAGATAGATAGATAGATAGAAGCACATCCGATAGCTAGATATAAACAGAATGAGATAGATAGATAGATAGATAGATAGATAGATAGATAGATAGATAGATAGATAGATAGATCGATAGAAGCACATCCGATAGATAGATAGATATAAACAGAATGAGATAGATAGATAGATAGATAGATAGATAGATAGATAGATAGATAGATAGATAGATGAATAGATAGATAGATATGAAGAGACTGGTATAGATAGATAGATAGATAGATAGATAGATAGATAGATAGATAGATAGATAAGGTTATTTTCCTTCAATGGTTTGCCTTGTCAAGCCAAAATTAAACATATATAAAAGGAAAAGCAAAATATAAAACTTGGATTTTAAAAAACAAACGAACCCAAAATGATATCAAGTTGAAGAAA